CGAGTCTTGGCACCTCGGACCTGTCCTTACACTATTCCCCCCCCGAAGTCATTCACTTGTGAATGATGTTGTTGGGGATAATGAGGAGAGTGTAAGAACAAAGAGGATACGGATACATCATAAAAAGAAGAAATAAAATTTGTAATTTGAATGCATACATAGCCATGTGCGATAAGAAAAAAGTGTGACCAGAGCGATGGTGGCCATACTATGGTAAAAATAATGATCGGAGTCAATGTGGCTGAAGCCATAATAAGAGATGATAACCGAAGTCGTGGTGGCCGGAGCCACAATAAAAAATGATAACTGGAGTCATAATGTAACCAGATCCGTGATAAAAAACGATGACCGGAGTCATAAAGGTCAGGGCGGTGATGAAATATGATGACCGGAGTCATAATGGCCGGAGCCGTAATAACATATGATGACCGGAGTCATAATAAGATATAATGACCGGAGTCATAGTGGCCAGAGCCGTGATAAAATATGATGACCGGAGTCATAATAAGATATAATGACCGGAGTCATAGTGGCCGGAGCCGTGATAAAATATGATGACTGGAGTCGTGATGGCCGGAGCCGAGGTAAAGTATGTGACATGTAGTCACAGTAACTAGAACCGAAGTGAAACATGTGTCTCTGTGGCCGGAGCCGAAGTAAAACACTATGCCAGTTTAAAAGTGTAATTGTATATGTAAACAGAAGTGCTGAGCTAAGCTTAAATATAAAAATGGGAATCAAAATGGCCGGAGCCATAATAAAATATAATGACTGGAGTCATAATGGCCGGAGCCGAAGTAAAATGTGTGATACAGGATCACTGTGGCCGAAGTCGATGTGAAATGTAATGTAGCATTATTATGGCCGGAGCCGAAATGAAACACTTGACAAAATTGAGAAAAGTAAACAAGGGGGTTGAAATGGGCGTGAGTGGGTCCGTCTGGAAAATCTGACAACGTGGTGTGACAGCTGTCCTTGGAATGACGTGTGCAATAAATGCAGCCGTAAGAAGGCAACTGCAACAGTTAAACGGGCAAATTTAAAAATGAACCGTCAAGTTCAAAACGGTACTGTTTGGGGTTGTCCGTTGAATTCCAAACGGTGTCAACAGGGACCGTAAGATTAAACGAATCTCAGCCATTGAGATCTAATTTCGCCCAGAAGTATAAATAGGCATTTTTTCTGCAGAAAAAGGTTTACTTGCATTTCTTTTCCTG